TCAGCACAAGCTCACCGGCCGACAGGCACACAATGACCCTTCAATCTAGCCTCGACACAGGCCAAGTTGGCCGAAGAGATGTGATGGGATTTCGCGCTCTCGGGAGCGGCCACTTCAGCTCCGAGTCCACTGGGGCCCAAAACCCCGCCAAGAGGGGACCGATGACAGCCCTTGTCTCCTGACGACTTGGTGCAGTGGGCCTCCATCTCGGCCATCTTGTCTAAAGACTGTATGAAGCGTCAGAAGTGCCGAACTTCAGTCGACCCCATCTGCACGAGTGGTACAGTTTAGTTGCCCAGCTCTGCCAGTAATTCCTGTTTGGCGTTCATTGCGTCCGTTGTCACCGACGCCATTAGAACAGGCAACCAGAGCCAACCTGGACGCATGACACGAGGCTTCGACCTGTCAACAAACCTCGTGTCTCTGACCCACAGTGCGGACATAAAGCCGATGGCGTCTTCTTTTGTCCTTCTTCTCCGCTCGGGCATACATTTCAGCATCTTTGAGTGCTTCATTAGTCTCAGTCTGCAAAATGAAAGAATTTATTGATCTGACTTAATTAAATGATCCTTTCATACAGAAATGAGGGAAAAAGTTAACCACCAACCACTTGTGTTTGTGTGTGTGTGAATGCTTCTATATCCCGCATTCTAGACTGACATTCGACTCCATTTTAATCTATTTCATTTCATTTAAGAATTAAACACAAAACTGGAGCTTAATTTATTCGCATAAGGCTGTTTTGCTCTAGTTGCTTTTGTCCCCTTCTGTTATTCCGACTGTTCGACGCGTCTTTTCAATACAACTCTTTTTTATCTTGTGTGCACTTTTGTATCATTACATTTAATTAGAATTTAATGTGTGCGCGAATCAGACTCATCGGTAGATTGAAATCATGCGGGCGATATTAGACTAGAAGGGCTTTTTGAAGATGCAAAATTTACTTATCAGAGTTGAGGAGTGAGAAAATGTGTTGAATGAATTTGTAGTTTATCAAGTCACTATGGCGATCAGGCTGGCGTAATACAAGGCGATTTAAGCCTCAGCTAAACTGAATAGCGCAAGCAAGGGGGGAATCTCTGCGGAAAATGTTGCAGCACAAAATGTAGTGAATACTATCAAGTACGCTCAAGTCTCCTTTTCGGTTCAAGTGATTCGGGAGTTTCAGACGACCCATGCCATACGCTGTTTGTGGGAAAGGCCCGGCGGCAGTCAGTGTATTTGCCAGTTTACTGTGTAACATGCCAGAACTCAATTGGTCAGAGACCCTTTTTAATAAAAAATTGGACTGTGACGGATGAAAATGGAAAATCTTAAAAGATACAGAGATTGCTACTCGCGTCGACAACAAGTTTGTAGCATGCAAGGTTTAGACCTGTATTCGTTGAACTTAAATTAATTTTTTACTAAAAATTTCTCTTCCAAATGATTGGCATAGCTTGGCCTAATCTAGCAACGGGCTCCACTCTCCACGATGGGTAGGGGTGTAGGATTCTGGAGAGGTTTAGGCGGAAACACAAACGTCATGTAAGCCAGAATACAAACCAACGTATACACTTATAAAGAGACATTCATATCAGCATAACCTATTACCGCTAAACTGTTCTCTATCCGCTGTTAAAATTTGAGAACAATCAAAGGACAGTGTTGTCATTCCACAAAATCTTGTACCACGTTGCCAAGGGATCAACGCAATTACCGCAGGCATATTTTTCAAACAGGAATATTTATTGCAAATATTTTTAGTTTTGAACCCTTTTCAGACTCAGTTTAAAATCGAAAATAGAAAAATGAAATATATAAAATAAAACCCAAAATAATAAACCTCTACCGGTAGAAAAGCGATTAATAGCGCAAAACCCAAATAATAAACTTCTCAATAAAACTGAGCACTTCAACAGACCTTTAAAGATTAAAATACTGAAAGCGTCTATAATGTCAATAAGTCCCACTTGACTAACTCAGAAAAATTCAATACAGAAAACGTAAGCTAAACAACCTGTCACAAATCGCAAATCAAGAATGCTCCTTATTTAATCTTGATCGGGTTTGCTATCAGTCCTGAAATAAGCTTAACAACAAGCATCCTTCTTTTTCTTCGAATTGAGTATTGTTTCCGTGACTACTAGTAAATCAGTAATATGAGATCCTATCCTTCTTTAACCTACGAGACAAGCAATATCGGTAACTTTATAAGACTACTTCAGTAAATTTTGATAGGCGTCTACGAGACAAAATGGGCACTTCAAAGTAAGGTTTGAGGATAAAACGTAATGAGTTACTTTGACGTTATTCTAATACCAAGCAGGTGACTTGAACGTCCAGAATGTATTCAGTTCAGGTGTAACTTGGATTTCTAGATACTTCTTTACTGAGGTCAGCAGAAGAGTTCTTTCACCAAAATCAGCTTATCGAGACCAACACAACTCGAATATAGATTAGCCCTAAATCATTTGAAATAGAACATATGAAAGCACCACTCAACTTATGGGATGCATTCAATAAAAGTGACATCAAAATGTACCTAATGGGAGTTTGTGTTTACTATTAATTTAGCTTCCTTCAAAATTAATTTATTTTGTTAACTTTTAAACGCTATCATTGAGCAAAAATGCATTATAAATGATACAACTAATTGTGTAAGAATATCAACAACCTCTGTAACCTAGTAATTGCATGAAATAAATATAAATAAGAAATATAATAATAATATTTAACGTTGTTTAATTTTATTTAATAACATAATATCAATAAATTTAGCTAATAGAAATAACTGTATAAATAAATACATGTACACATTCTAAAACTTGTCATTAATGAATTAAACTTATAATTTCAAAGTTTAATTGAAGCAAATTTTCTTTTAATCAAAGTAGGGGTTTTTTAAGTAATTTTAGGTCCGAGGCAAAATAACCTTAATTTCATCGGAACCATCGTCGTCTTCTGACGGGATCGACCTTGAATCTCTTCATCGTACTTCTTCACTCAGAATGCAAATAAGCTCAACAACAGTAAAAGTAGATGCAACAATGCCCGTAAAAATGATGGAGGCAAATAGGTGAGCTGATCTCAGGTCCACAGCTTGGCCATACTCGACTAAATTACGGTAGGATCTGTTTTTGACTATTTTCCTCCAGCTTCTGTCGAAGCTTGTTTGGGTTGCTGGGATGGCCCCCCCGATAGAAATACGAACCGTCCCAAAATACATTTTAACTATGTCAAACTGGCGAGTATGCAAAGAATGCATGTGAAAGCAGAAGATGATTACATGGTCGGACTGATCTTCGCAAGTCTTTGCGCCAAAACAACTTATTCCTAAATTAGTATTAAACAATAGCACTAGGTCTTTTTAAAATAAGCTTTTGGGGGGGAATGGAGTCGTGTTTTTTAAGTGATAGAGTCAGTTGTGTACGAAATGTCGTACACAAACACAGATAGGAATTAAAAATTGGCAAATGTAAAAATGGGTTATTCTGAACCCTATTTAATGTGGTAGGGGTTGACCGTCATTAAGCGTCTTCTGCTTTAACAACTTCAATGACACTCGGTGGAAGAGTGCAGAAAGTATGATCCTCAATTTCGAGAAGTGCTTCCACCTTCAAGATCGGTGACGTCTTGTTGTGCATCAGCCATCGAGTCACATCTATATCGGATAGATTGAAAGGAATCCGGACTCCTTGTCGTCAAGGCTTGAACTATTTTGAGGAACCAAGAGATCTGGTCCCTAAGGCCATTAGAAACGTTGAATATGGTGAACCTCGATTTTGGTAAGGGAAGGCTAACTGTGATAACAGTATTTACAAAGAACAGCTGGATTTCGATTAAACTCTAGAAATAGAATTCTTGTGAAGACTTTCATTTCGTATGAAGCTACCTGATGAAGAGATTTGTAGACCTATCTCATCAGAAGACAGATTGATTCTCGTTGTTCTGACCTTCAGGTTGATATAGCCCATACGGCATCTTCCCTGGCGTCGATTTTAGCGCGAAATGAAAGTTTCCCCGACTATGAGATAAGTGATGCGGTAGCGACATTTGCTTCGAGTCAAAGTTTCAAGTTTTTAAGTTGATCTGACCATAGAACGACTGCTGGTGCTGATTGTTCTGCAGCTCGTGACCGATGTTGTAAGCATTTGACTTTATTCTCATAACAACTATAAGTAAACTATAAATTGGCTCGTAATTAAATGTTCTTAAAAACTCACAACAATACAAAAAGGGCAAAATGAAATGCGATATCGTATGACATGGTCAGTTCCTTTTCAGGCCATCCCAAGTAAGTGTACGCTTTTGTGTACTTAACTATGTCCGTGTATGAAACCATATGCAATACTTCTGAATAATTACAATGCAACTTCAGATTAAAGCAGATTCATCAAGTTGTGATGACCTTGTGAATGCGGGATTGTGAATATTCGTCTGACCGAGTCGATAAGCCTAAAAGATGCGTGGAACGAATATGACTATGTTGCAGAGGCTTTCATTTAGGATGAAAGTGCAATATGAAGAGACCCATCAAGAAAACTTAGTGTTAACTTGAGACTTTATGTAAGAATGGGCTTCGGCTTTTCAACGAGAAAGTCGTTTTGAAGCCATACAACGAAAGTCTCGACAACAATAATATCTTAATAGATTCATCTAAACACATCTACTTCTCGAATCTACAAATTGGAATATGGTTAGAAACATCTCTCTACCGACCGGTTGAGTCGCCTTATTTTGGTGTGTATCTCAAAAGCCTTCTCTCTCTCTTTTCCTATTCTTAAATCTATAAAGTATGTCTATCTATCTATCGAGTAGTATTTGGCAAACTTTCATCCTTTGTGTTCAGTATATTACTTGAGTTATTAATCCCAGTAGCATTCAGAAGCGGGTTTAACAGTGGACCGACACGTTTTGTATCTTTTTACCTCGAGTCCGATTACTGTCTCTGATCTTTGGGTTCATATACCCCTAAAAGCACTTTTTTACTCTGTCACATGTCTCTACAACATGAGACTTTCTTTGGCCATATCTAAATAGTAGGTCATATTTTCTTATAAAAGTGAGCATAACCGAAGCTTGAAGAGTGAATTCAGCTTCCACTTCCTCACCACTTCGCCCATATTAAAAATAAGGAATAAGCATGAATAAAAACGTCTCAGACTGCCTTCTTATAGGTCAAAAATTTCTCTCTTATTCAAGAGATATTATTTTTGATTGAGCCCAAAAAATAATTTTTATAATTAAATACCTATAGTCACTCTAGCCCCCCATCCATATGATTTCTATCCCTAATTCTCACGCACTCTACCATACATTTACATGCATTGACATGAAAATGAACTGATAACATCACTCTAAATCTACGTTTTTTCATTCCTTTATTTTCAGCTTGCATAGCATGTAAACAGGCAGCCGATTAATTCTTTTAGTCTGAATTGGCTTGGCGTTCTACAAAAAAGCAGGCCCAGTATTGAATGTGTCTGTCGAGAGGCAGGGAAAGCGGAGGCCCGACTCG